GCCAGTGATGACCTACGGCACAAAAGCCCTAACACTCACAAGAACAACAGTGAGTAAACTACAAGTTGAAGAAAGGGCAATGGAGAGAATAATGTTAGGGACTTCTCTACGTGATAGAATACTCAATGCTACTATACGCAAAAGATCAGGTGTAGCAGACATTATTGAAAGGATAACAACACTAAAGTGTATCTGGGCAGGTCATGTAGCAAGATCAGTTGATGACCGGTGGACAAAAATAATTTTGGAATAGAGACCCCGAATACAAGCTAACAGAAATAGAGGTCGGCCCCCAACGAGATGGACAGATGACATAAAAAGAGTGACTACAAATTGGATTCAGATGGCGCAAAATCGGACTAAGTGGAAAAGCATACGAAAGGCCTATGTTCAAAAGTGGACGTTAGAGGCTAGTTGATGATGATGATACTGTTTAGAACATACAATAAAATGTATGACATTTTTTCAGCTTTTTTTTTTTCCTTTATTGGCCTAAATAGGGGAAATAGTAATATACTGAAATTTGTAATTCAGTGTAATAAAATTTACACTCTCGGCCAAATTGTAAAAACACTAAATGAAATTTAAATACCTTGAAGTATAGAGACAGCAATAGTGGCACTAATCATTTTATACCGTACATATCATAATTGTCAAAACTAATAGAATAAATATAATAGGTCAAGCGAAAGGCTTTTTTTATAAACTCAAAATACTGTGTTTGTTATACCTCAATCAACCATGGGATCTTATCGTCTATGCTTCGCCTAGCTTAGTCTCTAAGTGTGAATTCGTCTTGTCTTAAACTATGAATTAAACAATAAACCCTTAGCTGGTAGTAAATAAAACAATTATTTAACTAATTATATTTATTTAACACATAAAACATAATAATTAAATAGCAAAAACAATCCTGTCTAATGCTTTACATTCAATAAATTTGAATGATACTTGTGGCATCGATGGGCTGCTTGCTTCTAAATATATGTTGCCTGCAGATTATGTGGGCAGGTCCTGTTGCCGGCTCCAAAGCATGTGAGTAGGTCTTGAAGACAGCTGTTTTGGCCCACATCACTCCATAAAGTATTTTCAATAAAATTCCAATAAAATGTTCCAGAAATATCCCATAAAATCTTCAATAAATATCCCATAAACTAGAATATTAAATAGCCTGTATTAGAGAAACATCAAAGGGGGTTAATTTCCTTGCCAATTTTTTTACAAAATTATAATTAAACAAATAGCAAATGGCAAGGATAAAATGAAACAGAATTACTATTAAAATTAGCTAAATTCTGTTAGATTCCTACATGCATAGGATTGAAAACGTGGCTTTAAAAGAAGTGAGGTTACGAATATTGAAAATGCTGTCAGAATTGTTGAATATAGATTAGAATGAAAGTACTCATCCCAAGAGAATTCTGCAGACCATAAATAAAGCTTATAATAATTCCTACCTTGTTTTATAAATTTTAATTGTAGACAAAAAATAATATTCCCACTATGAAAGGTGATTGACAGAAAGTAGGAAGGGACTGATTTATTCTACGGGAAAGAACGAGATAGAGAGAGAGAGAAAGAGAGCGTCAACTACTTTTTGAAGAAAAAATAGTAAAAAAGAAACTGAAGGTTTAAGGTATAAAGAAATTAAAATAAAATAATTATTTAAATATAAATTAATAAAGATGTGACATTATTTAAATACGGTGCTTCTGGGATGTCGATATGGCATTCCTTCGATATCAGTCACCAAAACCCTCAACGTCGTATTACAATTTAATACAAAAGATAATGGTAATAATAGGAAAAGTCGTAAATTGTGGGTGGCAAAGTCATTTTACTTCTAAAAATAAACCAATCTATATTTTTACATAAAACAAAAAACATAATACTACGAAAACATGGCTGCAACCGAAAAATAAGGTTTTACAAAAATCCGCTAACAAAATTATTCCACAGGATGTTTCAAAATTAGGATAAAAAACCACCTTTCGATTAACCCGGTATAATAATACGGGGTTATAATAAGTCCCCCGTATAATAATAAGTCAAATACAATATTTTATTAAAAATTTATAAATTTTTATATAGTGTGCTAAAAAATCATTAAAATAGGGCTAAAAATAAAAAACTTAAATACTTTGAATTTGACCAAAATTTTCTTCTTATATATACGTATGGAAAAGCACTAAAAGCCCTTTCAGACACCTGAAAGGGCTTTTATGCACAAAAGCACTAAAATTAGCTTCAACACCAAAAAACTATTAATGATATTATCATCATCATCATCATCATCAAAGCCTTCAAAGCCTTCTTCAGAACAATGTTCCATTCGCCCCTGTCATTGGCAACTCTTCTCCATGCTTTAACTCCGATGGATTTTAGATTATCCTCTATATTATCTGGATACCTAAGTTTTGGTCTTCCTCTGGATTGTCTTCTCACTGACCCTCTTCGGTCTAAAATTTTTCTGATCGTTGCATCTTCGTTGCGTGCTAATTTAATGAATTTTACAACGTCAGGTTCCCCAAAACTTCTGTATAATTCAAAGTTGTAGTGCCTACGCCACAAACCCTGTTATTGGACTCCTCCATATATTTTCCTTAGAATTCTTCTCTCGAAACGTCTGATAATATCATACAGTTCCTTAAAGAATCTGAAATAAATATTTAATATTACATTACTAACACATGCACGACACAAACCAGCATTTATCGGTATACTGGTGGAATGACCACATAAGTGCTTTCCGTAAAGAGTATCTCAGAATATCTCAGCATGGCTGGAGACGGAAAAACTGTGTATCTGATGACAGAGTACAAAAAGCACCTACAGAACTAAATAAAGCAATCAGAGACAGAAAAATGAATGCTGGATGGAGCTTATCAATGAGGTGGAGAATAATCCGGGAGGCCAGCCATGTAAGATGGTCAAGACTCACCTCAAAATCCAGTAAATGCCGACAACTACATGCCCTCGACTCCTAGAGTGGATCATTACTACCCTGTTTTCTCAAGAAGATTTCCTTATCCAACGGAAATAGATTAATTGACGAAGGCGTGTAATAGTCATCAGCATTTAAAATCAGCTATTAAAAAATTAACGGCACTATTTTTGCTTTAGACCTTCTATAATTTATTCCTCAAGGCGGTTACTTTCTCGCACATATGGAAGCAAGAAAGGTTAGTGCTTCTTCCAAAAGGGAAGAAACTACCAGATAAACCATTATGTTATTTTGGAACAAATAGTCAATGAAAAAATTTAATCCGATGCTTAACGGAAACCAGTATCGTTTTCGAATAGGGCAGTCAACACTGGATACGATTGACCTTTTCGATAAAACAACTAAAAAGGCGATCGTCGGGGCCAAATGGAAGGGGGTACGAAGAATTGATTATTGATATCAGGCTTAGCGTCAAGGTGCAGGTAAAATATGTCAGTGCTAAAGTATTAGTAGTGAGGGTAGCCTTACTGTAATCAGGGCATTACTGTCGTCAATAGTCAAGTCAGTGTTCCTTCTCATTCTTTAAGAACTTATTAGGGCGTGGTGACACTCCAAATATTGTTAACTTGCTATCTCCATTGGCTACTATCGTGTGCCATATGGACGCCTTCATGTAAGTATTTTCTCACCAGTCTATATTTGGTCTGTCCATAGTGTTGGAGATCTGAATCTTGGTCTTTAGACTTTTACATTTCCTTCTACTACAAATAATTCCATAGTCCCCGCTCTTCTGGATATATAGCTGAAGTAATTTAGTGGTACTCGGCTTACTTTTTTTAATAGCCTGTGTTTTATATGAAGCTCTTCCAGAATTGACAGGTTGATTCTATGTGTTATCCAGGATACGCGTAGATTTCTTCTGTAGACCCATATTTCGAATGCTTGGATCTTACTTTTATCAATTTTTTTGAGAGTTCATGTTTCATCTGCGTATGTAGCAATGGCAAAACAAGAGCATATCTTTTAGAAGTTAGTATTGAAAAACGAAATATCTATATGGGCTGATACCCTCGAAACCCAGGAACAATGGAGAAAGGATGCATCAGTATATCATTTAAGCGCCTTAGAGTTGCCAGCGGATTCCTCACAGTATTTGCGGACACGGTGTACGTCATTGCCGGGATGGTATCTATTGAAGAGCTAGCTGAAGAATGTCGGACCCTTTATCGGCGAAGAGGGTCAACTACAACTAGATTGTGCTTTGATGAACTCAAAACAGTCGATGGCAAATGCAGTGGGATTCTACAAATAGAGGCAGGTATACGCATTATCTTGTACCGCAGGTAAATGGCTGAATCCATAACATGGCGAGGTTAACTACTATCTGACCAAGATGCTCTTAGGTTAAAGCTGCATATCGAGCATATCATTACCTCTTCACACATGACGATTTTTAAAAGTACACGTTCTGCCCCGGAGTCAGTGAAGACGTGGAGCACCTGTTCTTCGTGTGTCCTCGGTTCAACTTGCTACGCGAGACTCTAGAAACTGTTATCAAACAAATCTTAGTAGGAGAAATGCTTTTATTGAAGACAGTTTGGAACACAATCAGCATATTTGTAATGAAAATCCTCCAGGATCTTTGACGTATTGAAAGAAGTTAAGCTAGAAATAAACTGGTAAGAAGGAGAAGAGTAATGCCTTTGATAACCTCAAGGAAGTTCAATAGCTATATCCTGCCCCCGTGAAATAATATCTTATGGCAGTTACGCAAGGGAAGCAGCGCCATAAGGAGGTCTTTTTAGTCGGTATCATGCAAGTTCTACATATTATGCAATTTATTAAAAAATAACAATCAATCAGAACTAGAAATAGAAAATAAAGAATATAATCAAACAATTTATTACCACATTATATAGAATATTATAGTATATATTATAGTATATAGAATATATAGTATTATAGTATATAGAAAAGTAGTGCGTTAAATACTTACAGTCTGTCAACCAAATATTTCATAATTGATGTTTTAACTAATACTTTATTTTTTTTATAGATGTCGACATGAGGTTCCTGTCTCCCTACCGCCTCTCTCCAACGAACAGTTTCCTTGTACAAAGCGCACCGATCTCTAGAGTGCCCTCACTTGAACCACTGTTCAAAAAGGAACCTAGCTCCACGAACGCACATAAGACAAGTCTGAACCAAAACGATTGCAAAATTCAAATCGAGGATACATTTACTGAGAAGCCGTACAAAGAGCTTAAGCCGTCCAAAGACTCTAAGTCCCAGAAAGAGTGTAAAGCTCAAAAAGAAGAAGCGAAGCGCAAAATAAGTGCCATAAATGCCGTCAAAAGGCAGTCTGATATACTCGAAGAAAAAGAAGATGAAGAAGAGCAAACAAGTGTGACAGAAAATTTAATTTAAGTTATTGTAAGAAAATAAATTATTTTTATAGTTTTTTAGTAATTTTTTACTAGTTGTTTTTACTTTTTCTTCTTCTTTATTATCCTGCATTGAACTTTCCGGTGTCTCTCTATTTTATCCGGTATTTACACTTGTTTAAACATTGTGACATTTTAACATTTGATGATTTGATGGTATTAATTATTATTATAGTGACAAGACATATCGTAACGTGACAAATGGTAACGGATAATTCGTAACACCGAATGAATATTCGATGAAATAACAACTATGTATAAATGAATTTATTCGAGATATTCTAAGGCCCAGAAGATTTTCCTTGACATATTGTTAGATTGTACGTATACAGTTGCCTACTAAAGTAAGCTCTCTGATCAGGCACTTTCGGTAAAACTAAATTTTTTGGCAGTCAAAGGACAAAATTAAATCATTGTCAGCTTGTGTTTTCAAACTTGTATAAAAGAAGTTTGCCTTTAAAGTATATACACGATATTGAGTAATCAACGTCTGTTTTTTAGACAAATCTTTGTCAATTTTAATAGCCTCTTTTAATTGAATACTCTTCGAAAAAGTATCTGTTGCTGGTGTTTTGAAACTGAAGTTAAAGAACTTATTAAATATACGTCGAAAAAATTCGTATCACACTGATGGATTACTCCCATCATTACTGTAATGATTGTGTAATTTTCTTATACTGAGATCAGTTCTTAAATATTGCACAGAAGATCTACCTACCTCTTACATTAATGTGATTCCAATGATTTTAGACTTTTTATGTAAGATTTTACTGATTCAGTACGCCTAGAATACTGATTAGACCGTCTATCACCTTCTCTTCTCTCTCGCCATTGTATTTAAATTATTTCTACAAATTCTTTGTATTCTGTCTTTAAATATCCCCAAAATTGTAATCATTCCTTTTTGGCATACTTTCTTTAATTTGACGCGGCGACTTCCAGTAGAGATAAGTTCATGTTATGGTATAAAATAAGAAATGGTCTGTGTCTTTTTCTGCTTACCTGCTTTTTTGGAGCTTAAGTCACACAACATTTAAGCAAAAATGTATCTTGAGCAATTTTATCTCCGGACGAATAAAAATGTCGATGAAATTGACTGTAGTGTTAAAGAGACAGTTCCGTACTCTCATACACTAGCTCTAAATTTCCGTGTGCACATTGTGGCATTACTGGTGGCCCCTTGGGCATAGTAATGCTCACCGTTTCGATTTGTCACGTTCTCATTTCCATGTAGACTTATCTATAATTGATTGTTGATCCTAATGTTCTAAGACCTCTTATGTCATGTATATTGAAAATATTCGAACGAATCATGAAATATCGATTAAAATGGTGGATGGAAAATAACAACCTTTATCCAGGCGACCACCTTTGGTTTCGTAGAGGAAAAGGCAGTATGAACTTATTCTAAAAACCAATATATAGCTACTTTATTTGTGGATATTTCTGGTGCATATGATAACGTTATTCTCGACCTTCTGTTTGATCAACTCGGTAAATTAGCAGTGCCGAATTCTGTTTTTATGTTGAGAAAAAAACTTTTAGGAATGTATTTATGTCTTTAAAGTAAATATGTTTTATTGCAATAAGTATTTTGATAGTCATGGGCTTGATATCTCAACTAAGAAGTCAAGTGTAGAAATAGACGAGGTTGAAAACACGAGAAAGGGCCTATCTTCAGCAGTATACTTTTGAGACAGGATGATAAATAGAGGAGACCGGCGAATCTCCAAAAAGATGACTATGACCTATTAGAACAATTACTAAAGAATGAATAAAAAAATATAATAGAATCAATAAGAGTCAGTGCAGTTTACTAGAAGGAGTGGAAAAAGAAATTCAAAAACGACGTGATTGGTTAGACGAGACTGTAAAATGGATCATTCGTGGTGTGACTAAATATACAAATATATTTAGCAAAGGAAGCCAACTACATCGTGTAGATATATAGACAAAATTGACGAAAAAAGAGATATAGTTCAATGTAAAGAACAAATATATCAGTGAGAACGAAATAAATATTCTCCCATATACATGATCTCATCACCATAAAATATTCTTAAACTGAAATACTGCTGACTTTTAAACAATATTTTAACACTAAAACATATTTACTAGCATATTACATCCATAAATAGCTATAAAAATATATTTCGGGTACTTTGTATGACTAATCAAACATCCTTATTAAACAAATATCCTGTTTTTATTTAAAACCACTTAAATTAAAATATCAAATCTAATTCAGAAGTAAAGATTTAATAAGATGGTTACTGGTCAAATTGAAAAAACTATCAAAAGGGTTAAAAGAAGAGTAAACAATTTAAAAAGGTGAGTAAATCTTGTAGATTAATTGTTTAGAGAAAAAATCCTACCAAGATCTTCTTTTCACACTTATTTTGGTCGAACATTCAACTTGAATGTTTAACAGTATAGTCATTTAAATTTTATTAAGAAATTAATATTAGATATTTTTTTTTATTTTTTGTCATCCATTTTATATCTCTCTTCTATGTGACGAATTATGTCTTATTTTGCTTCTACTGCTTCTTGTATTTCTAAAATAATCTTCGTAATGGGGTCGTGTTACCAGCTTTCACATAGTAGATTTATAGTATTGTGTAACATTAATGAAATAGAAATCTTCTTTGTTAGCCGTGCTTATTCTCCAGCGTTGATTATCGTCGTATTAACAAAGTGATAAAATGTTTCTCTATCGGCAGCTAAATGAAACAATTCCTCGACCGTTCGACCTGTCCAATGTATAATGTTACGTAGCCAGAACAGTTGTTTTCTTCCGACCCAGCCTGTTATTTCGATTTTGCTCTGAATAGTCAACTGGAGTAAGCGATATTTGGGTGCTTTGAAGTGTGACTTCACTCTTCATATAACCGAAGTATTAGATCTTTCTCATTTTGATCATGTTAATCAATTCTCGCTCTTTGTACATGGTGTCTAGCACACGTTCGCTAGATATGTGTGCTGTCTATAGAATTCTGAACATGCAATGGTAACACCACAATTCGAACGCTTCTAATTTATTAAGATCTTTTATTTTTGTTGTCCAAGCTTCACATTCATAGAACAAAACGGACCAGAGGACACTTTAAGACTCTTAGACGTGTGGTCAATGACAGACTTCTACTGCACACTACAGAACGCGAGTTAATAAAGCTTTTTCGTGCATTTCTGGTCAAAATTTCCTCGCCACTTTCAACCCTGCAGTCACTCTAACTACCAGATATCTAAAGTGTTCCACCTTTTCCATCTTTGTTATCTAATTTTAGTACTAAGTCTTCGATATTAATTTTTCCGAGCACCATTTTGTTTTCTTTACATTGATTATTATGAGCCATTTTCAGTGCATTTGTTGTTTACAGCGTTCAATAGAGTTTGAAGGTGTTCTAGACTCTCTGTCATTGTGGCGGTGTCATCTACGTATCTGATATTATTAATAATTTCACCACCGAATTTTATTACCTTCGCGAAGATTATTTAACGCAATCTTAAAAACTGGTTCAGTGTAAGCATTAAACAACATCGGTGACATAACACATCTCTGTCAAACACCACGCTTAAAGTTTAGCTGAAAACTCTTGGTCTATCGTCATACAAGCGCTCTGATTGTAGTAAAGATTTTTTAGTTATCTAATGTCATACGTGTCCAGACCAACTGAGCCTGGAAATAGAAATAGAAATGGATAAATTGGGATTGGCAGAGATAGTCATGCACAAGAAATAAAAAGAAGAATATGCCTTGGATGTGCAACATACAGAACACTGCGAGAACCTTTTAAAATATTGCTGCCCATATGCCATATGTATGAAATAAAAAATGTTTGATTAGGTTAGGTTATCAAAACAAACAAAATTTTGCGGCTTTATTTATCTAAAAACTGTTTAAGTTTTGAAAGCATATTAAAAATAATATTGGGCGTAATAGATAAGTCGGTTATTGCTTTTTCATAAATAATATACCACAAAATTTTAATATAAAATTTTGAGGTTATAATGACCAACAAGTGTAGCGCTTGTAAGATATTGGTACTGATGAAAAGCAAGTAATACCATGCGACAGTTGCCGTTCAAGGATACACATTGTAGAAAAATGCTCGGGCTTGTCCACATCTGACATACGGGCAATTATTTTGCGGAAACGTCTACTTATTTACCCTATAAACAAAAGTCCGATCTGGTCACTGAAATGAAGAAAGTTTTTATCAACAAAAAAAATTCTAGGATTGTATTACCAACAGAAAAATTAATAGAAATGAAATCCACAAGGAAACAATTCCTGTGGCTGGCTGTGTACCACGTATCACAAATAGAGGTTAATCTTCGTAAATTTAAATATACCCATTTACGAAGATTAATAAAAATGGTTAAAAAGTGAAATAGTTACAAATAAAATGGTTACGGTATGGCAAAAATAAAACCAAACTCCTATAATTTATAAACAGTCACTACAGGAATCTTTTGAATTCGGTGAAATTAATATTTCAAAACCAGCATCAAAGGGAAGGCCTCAAATTTTGTTTAATGTAGTTCAAGATCTTTTGTTATCTTAGCGTAGACCACTGAAACAAATTAAAAATAAACACATGATTGATCTCTTGAAATTTATTCCACCGCATTATCACTCATTCTACAGAATATTGCCAACAATAAATCAAACGATCAGCAAGAGAAAATGATTCGGAATTATCAAAAGCTGAAGAATATATCGATTAAACAAGATGTACTCAGTTATATTGTTCTTGCACAGAGTCAATATTTTTGGTGGAAAGTTGTTATTTTTCAAAGAAAATAAAAGTTTTTAAATTTCCCTGTTTGTAGTTATAACTATAATACTTCTATTATGACGAATAAAGACGGTTTATTTATTTCTAAAGGTCGATTCAGACACATCAGTCCCGTCATAGTCTCGGCGCCGAACCGGTCCTATTTGGTCACAGAACTATCAACTATCTGACAGCTGGGAAACTGTTTGTCAACTGATGAGTGTGAATGCCGGCA